CTAATTCTTTTGATCTTCTAGATATGTTGCCAATGTCTAGTTACAGACTGTAGCACCTGTTCTTTTGAATGACATTACCTGGTCTTGTATTGGAATAAATCCATTTTGCAATCCTAAACTTTTCAAAAGTTTACTTGATCCTCTGAACTAGGAAATTGACTATGTATAAACCCTATACCTATAAAACTGTGCGGACTTGGTTGCTTCCAGAAGTTGTTGCAGTCGGGTTTTTTTAGTAGATCTATATGATCTTAGAGTGGATTTTGCCATGTTGGTACTCATGTCAGCATAAACATTTAAAGGAATAGGTGAAGAAAAAAGAGCTCCAATGACTAAATGTGGATGTCGAAATTCTTGAGCTGTATCACTATCACAAAAATCTAATGCATAGCTCGATCCTGTTTTTTCAACTATTTGTTTGTGGAGATGAGATTTTAAACCACATTACCTTGATATTTATATGGATGCTATGCAAGTAGGTTCGTAGATGGAATAATCTATATACAACGCATGGAACCCAAGTTTCTGCAGTCACAACACTTAATACGCCAAAATTTGTTTTACCTTTCTCTGTTATGGATTTCTTGGTGCCATTTTATGACTTATAGTTTATTGTGTGTAGGTGCCAGGTGTTACTGATGTTCAATTGAAACCTAGGAAAATAAGAAAAGTTGCTGTTATTGGTGGTGGTTTGATGGGCTCTGGAATTGCAACAGCTCTTCTTGTTAGCAATACATCCGTTGTGCTTAAGGAAGTAAATCCTCAATTCCTGCAAAGGGGACAGAAGATGATAGCAGGTCATTTTTGTTAAATTACTGCTGTGTTTCTTGGGATATTATTTGCCCTCAGTATTTATTTGAGATTTCCTTAGAGTTATACTGAATGCTGACCTTTTTTTTTTGTTATGCTTGTGCTTTAGGATTATCTTTATCTGTTTTTTCAGTGTTATATTACTGATAAGTAGCAGCAATTATTTGACAGCTAATCTTGAGGGTCTAGTCAAGAGGGGCTCATTGACAAAGGACAAGATGAACAAGGCCATGTCACTTCTCAAGGGTGCATTGGATTATTCTGATTTCAAGGATGTTGATATGGTCATCGAGGTAATCCCTCATATGTTTTATGGTTCAAGTTTGGCATAGTACTTCGTCTGTAGTTATTGGAAGTCCCTCTGTTGGTTGATGAAGCATATGACCATGACAATGTATTGTGTTTATGATAATTAACATTGTTATTAGATAACTCATTTTATAGTTCTGTAATTCATGTACACTGTATTTTTCATGGCACACAATTGTTTGTTTAGTCTCTTATGACACCGTTTTTTTTCTTCTTGTAGGCTGTCATAGAGAAGATTCCTTTGAAACAATCAATATTTTCTGACCTTGAGAAAGTATGCCCACCCCACTGCATACTTGCAACAAACACATCTACCATCGATTTGAATGTTGTGGGCGAGAAGACAAATTCTCAAGATAGAATTATAGGGGCACATTTCTTTAGGTTTGTTATTTCTTTTCTTATTGATTTTGATTGCAGCAGATCCTATCAATTAGCAATACGAAGTTGCCAATTTGAGTACACTTATGACCTATGCATGTAGATTACTGAAACCCATCTAACTGTGAAGTTCTCGAACATTCTCTCCAATCAAACTCATAATTTACGATGGAGTAGGAACTTATTTTCTTAGAAGAAATGAGAATGTGATGAATATGTTAATGGAGGAAATATCCAGTGGGAACTCCTCAGTGTTGACATACAAAGTTACAAACCCTGCGTGAAAGTTCTCTATCGTACTCTTGTTTTTGGAGCGGGGTGGGGGGTGGGGGGGGGGTGCAGGATATAGGGAGATGAATGTTCACTTTTAATTTTCCCCACGATAGTTTATCTAAGGTCACTGAAAATTCAGTGTTGAGTTGTTGATTGTTGTTTATGGCACTTTTATCTGCAAAAGCATGGCTAATCATGATATCATGCGAAACCCAGTAGATATAACAGAATATAGGTAAGTCAATCCTTGAAATGCATGAATAATTGGTTCATTTTAACCATGTCAAACTGATCATTGTATCCCCGAAAGGCAAGCGGCAGATCAGTATGGCTTAAGTTAATTCTAAGTCAGATGCCTATGACTTCATAAGCTAGTAGCTTTTGCAAACTTGCAATAACTTTTTATTTGGGATATGTACAGTAGTAACTTATGTATGAGCATCACATAGAATGTACGGAGAAGCAGGATATAGGCATTTATAAATAACAATAAGTTCTCTTTAGCCTTTCTGGTTTGGACATTATATCAAACAATCACACTGTACTTGTTTACTGTGAGACACCATGTTCAATTGCTCATGTTATGTTATTTCCAGCCCTGCCCATATTATGCCTTTGCTTGAAATTGTCCGGACGGAGAAGACATCACCGCAAGCTATTCTTGATCTCATCACAGTTGGGAAAATGATAAAGAAAGTCCCTGTTGTGGTTGGGAACTGCACAGGCTTCGCAGTCAATCGTACATTTTTCCCTTACACACAGGGTTCTCATCTTCTAGTTAGTATTGGGATCGACGTTTTCAGAATTGATCGAGTAATAAGCAGCTTTGGCATGCCAATGGGACCTTTTCAGTAAGTGTTCAACTCTATTTTTATACATCTTTATGTCGCACTAGATTATCATCACAAATATTAGTATTTGTATTGAAATTTGTTTAAATAGACAAAATAAGATAGGAAATATGTAGTTTGAATAAATTCATGGTTTGCGTTTTATGCCTTATTTATTTGTATATAGCTTATAGTGAACATTTTTTTAGTCCAATTCAATTTATTTTTGTGGGCTTTAGTAAGCTACATCTTTTGAAATGTGATTGGATGCCTCCTCAATAACTCAATGGAGGTCACATTTCCTTTAATTGTTGTAATGCAACATGTCACTTATACCTTTGTGCATAAATATCTAATCACCTCAAATTGCATACCTTCTGTGCATGAACAATTAACAGTGAGATATTGTTGTGTGCCTTACCTAGATTATTTAAATGAACAGTGCAGTGCTGGTCCGTTGTTGATTGACCTGTTTTTCTGTAATCATCATTCCCAAGGGTTTTTATATCTAATAAATCCCCCTCTTCCCTCTGCACTCCTGCAGACTGCAAGATCTGGCTGGATATGGAGTGGCATTGGCAGTAAAGGATATCTATGCGGCTGCCTTTGGAACAAGGAATCTGGACTCTAATCTGGTGGATTTGATGGTACAGAATGGACGGCAGGGTATGCTTCCTAGCCTGCTTTTGCTCCTGCGATGCTGTTGGTTGTAGCAGATAGGATGGATTGGACAAGAAACAGTAGTCAAACAAAAAATTGATGTGAAATTTCCCTGTATTTTATAGGAAAGAGCAATGGTAAAGGTTATTACCTTTATGAGAAGGGTGGGAAGCCGAAGCCTGACCCAAGTGTTCAGGTTGTGATTGACGAGTACAGAAGATGTGCAAAGACAATGCCTGGTGGAAAGGTTTCCCTCCTTCCCTGCCTGAGTCATGGATTTTTCATTTAAAAATTCCCATGCTATCCCAGCTGGTGATGGAAAAAATTTCTGACATGGAGACATTATCTTGCTTGCAGCCTGTTACTTTATCTGATCAAGATATATTGGAGATGATTTTCTTCCCAGTTGTTAATGAGGCATGCAGGGTCATGGATGAAAATGTTGTGATCCGAGCTTCTGATCTTGATATTGCTTCTATCCTTGGGATGGGTTTTCCCAAGTTCAGGTAAACAACTGTTGCTTAAGCTTAAGTTGTGTGGTATGTTATTAGCAGGTGACAATTTACGTTCACTTGCATAATCGTCTTATGTAACTAAATGCTAATAATTAGCATGCACTTGAAGTATGCCTTAGTTGTATCAATATTTAGATACTTGGATTGAGATGCATGTTTGGTTTGTGCACAAATATAACATATGGACTTAAAATTTTATCAGAACACTTCTGATATCTAAACATGAACCTTATTTAATCCTTATGTAGGGTAGGGCTGCATGGCGTATATATCAAAATAAATTTATGTTGCTTTATAACGTGGTGTTTAACTTTAGCACTTGGAATTCCACCATAAGGTATTCCAAATGAGTGTTTATTGCTAAGTTCTGTTACATCATTGTCTAATACCAAACAACTCTCAAGTTTTATATTATTATGCATTCGTGTGAAGCTGTATAATTTTGTCAATCCATGATACTGTTAGCCGTCAGTCCTCACATGTATATTTTGCTTTCCTTTTTCTTTTTGTCGCGCATAAAGTGTTGTGGTTATTCTGAGTGTTAGTTTAACCTTTGATGTTTTTTATGAAGGGGTGGTCTTGTCTTTTGGGCTGACACTATTGGAGCACCTTATATACATTCAAAGCTTAGCAAGTGGACTGAAATTTATGGCGATTTCTTCAAACCATCATCCTATTTGGAAGATAGAGCTAAAAGAAGCCTACCATTGGTACTCTCTCTCTTCCTCTCTCACTCACACACAAAGACACAACGCAGTCTGTTTCTGATGGATAGTACCCGATCCTTGCCTTCCTAATTTTAGTATATGTTGAGTATAGCGGTTGCAATTATGAATTAGTATGCTATAGGCAAATATTATAGATCTGCATGTGTATCGAGTGCATATGATTATTACAAACATTTGAGTAGTTTGATGTTCTCACTAGAAAGTATAAATAATCCTATTAGTACATGCAACGAACGAAGCCTCTGTGTCAGCACTGACCGCCTTGGTTCAAAATTGGTTACATGGTGGGACGACCATGGGCCCTGATCATACAGTTCGATTTTGATATTATTACTGCACCTGCTCATACGCTCATTCATTGTGCTTCTCGCTTTAGTGTTCTGTGATGCTCTATCAGCTTGTTCGATAATTAATCATGTTACAATCTCTGCAGAGCGCACCAAACGCAACCCAGCAGGCTTCGTCGAGGTCACGCATGTGAGATGCTATTTCAGCTGATGGCAGAATAATTGCTTGATGTGCATCGGCACCCTAGTTGACCCTCATATCTGGGACCTGAAAAAGGAGGTCAGAGCAGTGTTCACCATGTAATCTCTTTTGGATATTTTGGCCTTTCCGGTTTTCCGAACTGGGTTGCTATGGCAATCGGAGTAATAAATGTTGGCTTCGGATGCCACAAAACTGTAACTTTATGGCCGATAGCCTTTTACTCCAGTGTTACATTAAAATGTATATGGTACAGTGTTTTTTTAACTTGTAGTAAAATAATATGCATGCTCTCCGAATAGTCATCTCAGCTTCCCAGTTTATTTCACTTAAAACGTAAGGGGGAAGGCAGTAATCTGACTCACCCAAGTTCGAACGTCTTGCTTTGATTATCAATGTAAGGTGTAAAGTCTATCATGTAATGTGTTCGTTGTGGTGATGTGTGTGCCCATCTACTACTATGAACAAATGGAATTTTGGAACCAAGTCAGAGCATTTTACTCACTCACTCACTCACTCTGATAAGTTTGATGTATTCAAATGTTAGAAAGCAATGAATAATACACAAACAGACCATGAGAGATAACACAGTTAAACTTTCATTTGTGGCCTATATTATTGTCTCTTGACTGATCTACCTAGCTTGTACTCCCTCCGTCTTAAAGTGTAGTTTTGCACTATTCACGTTCAACGTTTAACCGTTCGTCTTATTTGAAATTTTTTTATGATTAGTATTTTTATTGCTATTAGATGATAAAATATGAATAGTACTTTATGTGTGATTAAATATTTTTAATTTTTTCACAAATTTTTCAAATAAGACGGACGGTCAAACGTTGGGCACGGATATCCACGGCTGCACTTATTTTGGGACGGATGTAGTAGTTGTTTTGTCTACCCTGAATTTTGCCCATCTGACACCGATAAACACATACAGAGTGTCATATGCCTTGTTGATAGCTTGAAAGTAAACAATCCTCCATGTCTTCACAAACAGCAAGCTGCAGAACACCATCCAAAGCCCAACAACAAATCCCAAAGCAAGACCAAGGTAAAACGACATTGTGTCAGATAAACCTTTGCCTTCGTGAAGATCAGGCTGGCTAGTTCTGTTCTTTTCGGATGAACAATTTTTTTGCAGAGGAGGGCCACAAAGTCCAGCATTGCCAATGTAGATGTACGCTGGATTAGCAAGAGCCTGAAGCTGGTTCCCTGAAGGTATTCTTCCTGATAGATTATTGTAGGACAAGTTCAGTTGACTCAATGAAGTTAAATCTGACAAACTTGAAGGGATTTCACCAGAAAGCACGTTAATCGACAAGTCGAGAGATTCCAGCTTTTGTAAAGCTCCAATTTTCCGAGGAATTGTCCCGGTAAGACGGTTCATGGACAGGTTCAGGTTGACTAGCCCAGTTAGAGATGACAGCTCATCAGGGATACTTCCATCAAGAACATTGTCAGACAAATCAAGGCTCACCATGTAGATGACTCCACTGGTGTAGCTACGATCTTGCCCCTTTGTCACCATTGGCAGACTATCCACGATCCGATCGTTGCCTGATGCGCCGTAGCCTGTAAGAGGATTCAGAGCAAGAGGAAGGTGATTCTGTGTCATTCCTGTCATATTTGCTAGAGAAGGGGGTATGGAGCCTGATAGCCTGTTGTCAGCAAGGTCCAAGAACTGCAGATCAGGAAGCTCTGTTAGCTGAGTTGGGATGCTACCACTGAACCTGTTTGATTTCATTCTCAGATGTGTCAAAGATGGCAACTTCCTCCCAATCCACTCAGGAACGATCCCCGAAAACATGTTTTGAGCCAGATCAAGAAATGTCATGGATTTGCAGTGCTTCAAGAACACCGGAAATTCTCCGGTAAAATTGTTTCTGTACAAGATGAGAGTGATGAGCCCAAGGCCATCTGATGATATGTTCCTGCACCTTGGGAGGTGTCCTGTAAGATTGTTATTTGAAAGATCCAGATGCAACAAATTTGGAAACCGGCAAAGAGTCTCTGGCACTATTCCACTTATCATATTGGAGGAGACATCTAGCTCAACTAGCTCTGGGGCACCAAATTCCTGTGGAAATGGCCCTGACAAGGAGTTCCTGGAGAGATCCAGGACAAGCAATTTCTCTGGCAACAATGGCACACTGCCAGTGAGGTTGTTCGATCCGAGATATATCGCGAGCGCAGACCTCATGAACTTCAGAGAAGGTGGCAGCACTCCACTGATCTGATTTACAGATATGTTCAGGTAGACTGCATCTGAATAGGATTTCCAGAACCATGGTGGCAATTCATCCACTATTCCTGCATTTGAGATATCAAGGTACTTGATGCTTGGCTGGTGCTTGATCCATGCAGGGAAATGGGGACCCATCTGAACATCTGGAAAATAAGCATAGACCAATTTGCAAGGAGGCTTCCAGCTTGGCTTGATCTCCATTGACAGATTGTTCAGAGACAAATCTATCCACTCCAGACTCACCAAATCAGCAAAATGCTCTTCAGACAAGCTTCCATTCAGGAGATTGTTATGCAGAAACAACCTTGTCAGGTTTGATAGACTACCAATCCCCAACGGTATCTCCCCTGAAAGCTTATTGAAAGACAGATCAAGAATTGTGAGTTCAGACATCTCCCCAATCCATTTGGGTAGATGGCCAGACATGTTCACCGCCGACAGCTGCAGCACCTGCAGCTTCCCGAACACGCAGCGCGGCAGCCGCCGCATGAACTCCGCCATGTCGCCATTGACGCTGTTCACCGTCAAGTCGACGACCTGCAGGCCGCACAGCCGCTGCAAGGTTGCAGGGATCATGCCTACCATGTCATTTCCCTGAAGGTTAAGCACACGGAGATTTGTCATATTCCCGAGCGCGTCAGGAAATACACCGGACAGCGCGTTTCCCGACAGGTCAAGGTACGTCAGCGTCGGCACGTCCCAGAACCACGAGTTCGCCGACGACGTGTTGATGACGTTGGTGGACAGGTCGAGCTTCTGCAGCCGTGTCAGGTTCGCGCGTGCTGGCGGCGACGGCGCCGCCGTCAGGCCGCAGTCCGACAAGGCGAGGACTCGCAGGGAAGGGAGGTTGCTGACGACGCCGGCCCAGCCGACGGAGGCGTTGAGGTTGACGACGCTCATGTCGAGGTACTCCAGCGACGACATGCCGGACAGCCACGAGATGTCACCGGAGTAGAGCCCGCCGACGTTGGAGCTCAGGTCGAGCTGCCGCAGCCTCGTGAGGTTGCCGAGCTGCGGCGGTATCTCGCCGGCGAGCCCCGTGAAGGAGAGGTTGAGGTACCGGAGGTCGCAGAGCGAGCCCAAGAACCGCGGGAGAGGAGACGGCGACACGCCGTCGCCGCCGATGAGGTTGTTCTGGCTGAGGTCGAGGTAGGCGAGCCGCGGGAGGCCGAGCAGCGAACGGCTGATCTCCCCGCCGAGGCCGGCGCCGCCGTCGATGTCGGCGCGCGCGTTGTGGAGCCTCAGCTCCGTGACGTGGCCGGTGGCGTTGTCGCAGACGACGCCGTCCCACCGGCAGCAGTCGGCGGCGGCGCCCCACGACGCGAGGCGGCCGTCGGGGTCGCTGGTGAAGCCAGCTTTGATGGCGAGAAGCGCCGCCCGCTCGCTCGGGACGCAGGCGGCGGCGGCGGCGGCGGCGGCGACACCGAGCGCGGACGCCGCCGACGACAGCGCCGTCAGAAAGATGATCGCCGCCGCACCACCTGCGCACATCATCATCATGGCGCCAATGCACCGGAGCTTCTAGGAATTAATTAAGATCTCGGGCTCTCAGCTTAATTAGCTCGGTGATTAATCGAGCAATGTTACTACAACATATATAGATGATGATTCTGAAATAATCTGGATTATTGTTGAAGTCTACGTGAAGTCGTCGGCGTCTATTCGCGTCGAATCATGCAGTAAAAATCGGCGTTGGTAGAGCAAGTGATAGATGGTGACCCAATTCGATCGAACAGATCGAGTATTGATCCGGTCGATCTCGGCCATATAGTTAGCCTCCGTTGGATGTTGCGATGGATGATGGTGCAACCATTTTCTTGGATAGATATTTCGGTGTTTGACAAATTAAACCCGGAAATGCCTCAAATCGGGCGCCCGCCCCTTCGCGCGGGGCGACGCGCATCCGCGCCGTCCCCACCACACGCACCACCACACGCGCCGTTGCAACAAATCACCCACATATTACGAAAACGTCCTATTAAGAGAATCCATTTCTTTTTTTATTCCACTAACAATGTTTCAGCAAGTATACTCGTAATGTTTCACTATGCATTGATGAAATGTTGCAGTGGATTTTTATACTGTTTAATATTTTCTATCTTGATGGACACATGGTTTGTTGATGTATATGGAATTTAAGTGCTACAATGGCTTCAAATCGTTTGTTGTATACGTTGAACTAAATTATTTCATCTAGCGATCTGACCGTGTTTCAATTTTTTTAAGAATTGAAACATTATTTTGCTATTTGCTGAAATATTATTTTTATATAAGGTGAAACAACGTCTGATTTTTTGAAAACCGTTGTTTCATACGTTGTAACAAAATGTTTTATGAGATGATTTGATTGTGTTTCAGCTTTTTGAAAGACTAAAATATTTTCGATCTATTTAGTAAAACATATCCGATCTACTTGGTAAAACAGTCAGGCGCCCAATTGATAGGTGCCTTGAATTAAACTGCTTTAACTCTATATATACCTTAAATGATACGGGATAGTATTATTATATTATTAAATAAATGAAGCAGGTGAAAGAGATATGATATGTAACAACCGTAATTCGATTGGTAAAACAGATTATAACGATTATGTGTTTTCATTTGTATCATAATTTTAAAAAATATGTACACCACAATATAATACAATAATAAGGTCAGTATAGCTAGCTCAATCTTCTGCTATGAAGTAAAGGTAGGTCGGTCCCACCAAGTAAAAATAACAGTCTCGTGAACTCCATCGCTCGAGATAAATCTATGTTCCATACTAAAATCTCTACTACTATAAATATTATTTAAGATGTTTTTGTTAGGGATTTTGTACGTCGTCCCGTGTGCGGCATGCGCGCAATGATTTCGTCCAAGACGCGCGTGCCGTTCAACCGTCGATTGCGTCCGAGTCCATTTCAGCCGCGCGCGATTTGTTTTCCTTGCCGGGCGCCGTGATTTGTGCACGCCCACTCTGATTCGGGAGTGGATTTTGATCCATTGAGAGAGAGGATGTCCACTTATTTTTTTACATGTCACTTAAATAGTTATAAAATAATTTTAAAAAATTGAGAAGATGTATTAGCATAGGATATATCATTCCACAAACATACGAGTTCAAATTTAACTTATATTGTTCTACATCTCGAAATGAAAAAAACAAATTTGACTGTGAATATACATTAATAGCTGTAGTTTAATTTGTTTTTTTCATTGCGAGATATAGAAGTTGAATTTAAACTTGCATGCTTGTGGAGTGATATATCACATGTTAATACATTTTTTATTTTTTTTAAAAAAGTTATAACTATTTGAGTAACATGCAAACAACGAGGGGCATCCCCTCGAGGGATCAAAACAGTTTCCCCTCTGATTCAGCCAGAGTCCATTCGATGCCACATGCACTGCCCGCTCGCGGCTGCCTCGCACACCGCCTCGCATGAGCACGCTGCACAAGACCGTTTCCAATTATGTATAATACTACACACTTTTTACATATCGACAAGATTCTTGTTTTTTTTAATATCCGTACTAAACAGTTAGCTTGGACCTAACTTTGAAACACCAAATCCTTCGCGTTTCCAGATATATCATATATGAAACACCAAATCTTTTCTTTTCTCATTCACAGTGTATGTTGCACATGTCATGTCATGTCCATTCATACATGTCCACATATAATTTTTTTTACTCATCTACACCCTTTTCTCCGCCTTTAAATGTTTTTTCTCCTAAAATAATTATCCAATCTACATATGATTACATCATTGTATTCACACGATTATATTTTGATAAAAAATCAAACGATGTTTAGAAATACAACATTTAAAAATTTGGGCTGCAACACTAGCAACCACTTATATGAAACACTGAGTCCTAATGAGTAAAACAAAAAAAATCATATCAGAGATACAATATATTTATAAAACATGATGTTGTTGAAATATTTTTATATCACATATGAACACTAAACTATAATTATTAAAAAAATATAAAATACTTGCTAAAACATTCCAAGAACACCATGTGCAACATTTGCAAATCAAATAGTGAAACATCGTATGAATACTAGCTGAAAGATTTAAATATAATAGGTGCAAAATTTGCAAATTAAATAGTGAAACATCTTATGAATACTAGCTGAAACATTTAAATGTAATAGGTGCAACATTTAAAAAAATTCATGAATAAAGCTAAATATTTTTTCATTGGATCATAGCCATGTTTGGTCGTGTTTTAAAATTTTAATTGCAATGAATTTAGTGGTGCAATCGAATCATGAATTAGAAAAGTAATTTAAGAAAAAAAAAGTTTAAAGTTTGCTCAAAGAAACTTAAACCAACCTAACTTTTATTTTCTAGTATGGATGCATGGCTTCCGATACTTGCAGTGGGCTGCACCTAGTCCTGGTGTGTCTGCATGTGTTGGCGGAGATTGAGATGGGCGTCCGATTTTTAGCTAAAAGATCAGACATCCGATCTGTAGTCACCTTTGCATGTGAAACTCTCAGGTATTTTTTTAGAACGATCACTCATCTCTTTCATACCAACACCTCACTCCATCTGTCGAGAACCATGTTTATCTTCTCAACTCAGGTCCCGTTCTTTTCTCCGACAAGAGTTGGATAAAGATTAAGATTTTCGTGGCACGCTTTTCAAACTGCTAAATGGTGCGTTTCGTGCGAAAACTTTCTATATGAAAGTTGCTTTAAAATATCATATTAATTTATTTTTTAAGTTTGTAATAATTAAAACTCAATCAATCATACGTTAATACCACCTCGCTTTGCGTAAAAAACTTAATCTTCAAGCATTCTTTTTTTGTCCCGTTGCAATGCACGAGTATATGTGCTAGTAATAAAAAAATATTTATTGCCTTGTGATCACGTCTTATGGTTCCACAATAGTAAATATGTTGTATTAATTGTTGCAACATTTATTGTTTAATGTTAGCTTCTTCTTCTTTTTTTTACAAATGTAGATGCTCTAAGCTCAAGCCTTAATGGCACAGACAAAGCCTTCATTTTCTGATGCTGCCTTCATTTTGATTATTACTATTCACGAGCATGACTTTAGCATCTGACCTCGCCTCATCCACTAATCCTTGCGCTTGGCTTCTTTCCATATGGACCCAGGAAAATAGCAGATGTGTCTAAACAACTAGTTGAGTCAGATGTTAGTCGTAAGAATAGCTATTTCGGTGTAAGCAAAGGTCTATTGTGCAATATCAAGTTGTTGTACCTTTATTCTGAAAAGAAAAAAAAATCCTAAGATATGTGCGGTCAAACCTCAATAATATTAATAGATTTCTTTGAAGAACTCCTTCACAGGTTACATTCTTCACATTTTATGTTCTTCTCGTGAAGATTTAGATTTTATCTCGTTTTCCATTAGCACATTTTTTAAAGTACTAAATGATGTGTTCCATACGAAAACTTTTTCTAGAGAAGTTATTTTGAAATATCAGATAAATCTATTATTCAAGATTATAACAATTAAAACTCAATTAATTTTGCGCTAATGACTTTCTTGTTTTTTTTTCCTAGCTTCATCTTCATCTTTAGCAGAAACGAACACCATAGCTTGTGAAAAAAAGAGATAAAACATGCCTGATAGAGATTGAGGGATTGTATCGATGTCTAGAATATTATTCTTTGGAGAATGAAGGTACTAGTATTTAGGCTGTGTTTAGTTCCACGGGAAAATTTTTTTTGCCGGGACACATAAGATATACTGACATATATTTGAAGTATTAAACGTAGACTAATAACAAAACAAATTATATAATCCGCCTGTAAACCGCGAGATGAATTTATTAAGCCTAATTAATCTGTCATTAGCAAATATTTACTGTAGCACCACATTGTCAGATCATGGCGCAATTAGGTTTAAAAGATTCGTCTCGCAATTTACACGCAAACTGTGTAATTAGTTTTTTTTTTATCAATATTTAATACTCTGTACATGTATTCAAACGTTCGATGTGACGAGACAAAAAAAATTGCCGGTGGATCTAAACACCCCCTTATTTTCCGTTGACTTGGCGTCTATCCCTTTTATATCCGAGACTTAGGGACTGTTCAGATTGATGTCATTTTCAACCATATCATTTTTTGGTAAAATTGCTAAAAAAAATGTCTACGTTTAGTTTGTTGCCAAATTTGGTAAATACATAGCCAAAATTTTGATGAGGTTTATTTTGGCTACAATCTGAACATGCCATTAATTCGTTGTGCAAGAATATGTTATTGCTTCTAATTAGTAAAACTGTTTTTACTAATACTCCCTCCATTTCAAAATATAAGGCTCAACCACCCTCAATTTAAAAACTAAGAAATAATTATTATCATCTTATAGTTTGAATCACCCTAATTATAAATATAATGTATGCATCTAATAGAATTTAAGATATTGAGGATGGATGACTAAAATAATAATAATTTAGTGGGAAAGAAGTGCTAATTAATGGTATGCATTCATGTATGCATTATATTATGAAACATTTTTAAAAAATAGTTGTGCCTTATGTTATGGAACAGAGGGAGTAATACAATTAGCAAGATGCCCTCATTTCCAACTCTATCTCATCTCCGTCAAGCAGAGCAGCCAGATCTTACATCTCAAAGTATTGTGTAACACGAAAGAATTACACAGGCAATTCGAAATTAATTTCTTTTAGGCTATAAACATGATAAGTTTTCTAAAAGCATTAAAAGTTATTTCTTTGAAATGGACGTGAGTACATGACCAAACAGCACGGCAAGTGAGAACATGCTGCAGAATTCTTCTTGGGTGCTTCCACACGTCTTGCAGCAATAATTTTGATGCAATGGTGGACAGAGACAAAAACATTCGGATCAAATTTGCTCATAACCTTCCAAGTTCCAACAAATGCATGTCATGCATTTGCACAAAGACCACACAAGGCACCGGCGACTCCACTGCAGTGCTCCTGTGTCTTCTGGTATGCATGAACAGATCTGTAATAAAGAAAGAACAGAGAAATTGCATACGCTCTTAATAGTATTTCTTTTTGTGTGTGTGTGTAGATAATAAAAGTAATTGATGAAATGGTTATGTGGGCATACCAAGTTTATTTTTCTTTTACAAAAGACTAGATATTTTTCAACCTTGTCA